CAGGTGCGTGGGGTGCAGGTGTGTGGAGTGTAGGTGCGTGGGGTGCAGGTGTGTGGGGTATAGGTGCGTGGGGTGCAGGTGCACAGGGTGCAGGTGCCAGGCAACCTGCTGCTCCTAGGACTCCTGGAACACGACCAGTGGCCTCGAGGCTCCACATCTCCCGGGGCCCAGTCCCGGCTCTGACCCTGGTCCTGGCCACCTAAGCAGGTCAGACAGCGAAGGAGAGAAGGAAGAGCTCCCCTCACAGGCTCCTCTGGGCCGGGAGGCGGCCTCCTCCTCGGTGGAGACCCCCACCCTCCTGGCAGCACGGTTTCTGGAGGCCCTGCCCAAGGGTGCTCCTCCCCAAGCTCAGTCGAAAGCCCCCTCCCCACCGGCCCAAACTGAGGAGGTGGTGCACACCGCCCAGGTCGGGGTCAGGCCAGCTGGTCCTAGGGTGCACATCGTTCCGCCACAACCCAGCAGGCCCCAAGGAAACGACACTCGCCCCCTCCCTAAAAGCACCACGCCCTTGTGGAGGTCACCGAGGTCCCTCCAGGGACCTCTCCTAGGGCGGCGGGGCACATCCTGAAGCAGACTCCCGGCAGCTTTGCACAGACCAGGGCTTGCGAGGCCTTGCATCTCACTCTCCACCGGGACGTCTCCGTTTACCCTCCTCTCAGATCTGGGCCGCGCTGTGCACTCCGCCTGGAGCACCACCGCCCAAGAGGGCGCGGGAATCGCCCTCCCCCCGTGGCGGCGCCCGGCGGGGCTGACGGGCTACTCACTGCTGGGAGAGTGCGCTGCCTCGGGCAGTAGCGTTTCTTCTCTGTTTGGGCTCATGGCGTCGTCGTCGCCGGGCAGGTCACCGCTGGTGTCGTCTGCGGGGTCAGAGGACACCAGCTTGACGCTTCGCGGGCCCCAACAACAGCTCCCCAGCCGCGTCCTCCCGGGGTAGCTGAGTGAGCCGCCCCCTCATCCTGAGCTCAGAGCCGCTCAGCGACGCCCCGTTCCTGCCTCCCGAAGGCTGGGCGGGGGCGTGGCCACAGCCGGCTGGGCTGCACACCCCACGCGAGGGGCCCGAGGGGTTGCGGGGGCGCGCACCTGCAATCCCGGCGCGCGGGAGGCCGCCACGCGCGACAGCCTGGGCTGCACAGCAAGTTCAAAGCCAGCCTGGACCACGGAGCGAGATCCAGGCTCAAACCAAACCAAACAGCCCAGAGGTAGTTCACTTCCCGCGGGTCGGGGGCTCTCTCCCCAGGGGGCCCCCCACCGCCCTTCCCGTGCGGGCTCGGGCAATATTCTCAGCCTGATCTCCGCCCCGCAGGGCTCACCGCACCAGGGACGGGGAGACGCCCGCAGCGCTCGGGCCCTCAGCCCCCGCCCCGACTGAGAGCGACCAGCGCGATGCCCCGTGACGGCCTCGATCCAGACGTCCCTCCCGGAGGGCCACTGGGCAGGGGGAGGGGAAGGGCGGAAAAGGAAAAAACGCGGAAGGAAGGGCAGACGCGCCCCGGACCTCCCGCGGTCGCAGGAGGGCGCTTCGGAGCTGTCCACGCGTGTGCGGCGGGGGCTGCAGACGGGAGCCGGGACGAAGGCTGCCCCAGGCGGGCGCCGGGAGCCGCCTGGAGGACGGGAGGAGGGCCGCCTGCTGCCCGCG